CAACATTAACTGAAATAGATAATTAGATCATTTTAGCTTAGCTTATACCATCCGTTATACATTAAACGCACATGCATACATGCATATGCGTAAAGGTATTACGCGCATGCGTCAAAAGTTTGTAGCTTTAAGGTCCAGATTAACGACTTTTGACTGTATATGGAAGATGTCATTATATTCTTCATTGGTTATGGGCCCAGACAGTGCTTAACTGTGCAGCCCAACCACCATTGTTAAATTCTTTTGGCAAGCGAAGCTGTGTCAACTGAAATAAAAATGACGATGACAAATACAGTGTCAATTGAAAAGCTTAACAAGGACAACTTTGACACATGGAGGTTGCAAGTGGAAGCAATACTGATTAAAAATAATCATTGGGACTATGTAACTGGAAAAATTCCGAAACCAGAATCTGGTGATGAAGGATTTACTAAATGGAAAACTACTGACCAAAAAGCACGAGCGGATATAATCCTATCCATCTCACCCAGTGAACTTTCACAAGTAAAGAACTGTGTAACATCTCATGAACTATGGAGTAAATTGCATTCTATTTACGAATCGAAAGGACCAGCTAGAAAGGCCACAATTCTAAAAAAATTGCTTTTTACAAAAATGAGTCATTCTAAACAAATGAATGATTATCTAAATGATTTTTTTCATTCTTGTGGACAAACTGAAAGAAATGGAAATAAACATTGCGGATGATTTGCTTACGATATTGCTTTTATATAGCATACCGAACTCATGAAAGCTTTCAAATAGCCATCGAATCTCGTGATGAACTGCCTCCTTCAGAAATGCTGAAAATTAAACTGTTGGAAGAAGCTAGCGCTCGCAAAAATAAAGATTCATTGTTTTCTGAACCATAACACGCGTTCTATTCAATAGAACGGAAGTATACTTAATGACCGGTTCCTAAACCGAAACCAGATAAGTCCGCAAACCAGTATCCAGTTAACTACAGATGCAACTTCTGCCATATCTATGGGCATAGAGCATCGGAATGCAGGAAGAAAAGTAAAGAAACTAAAAGCAAAATGCCTTAGTAAAACTGAGATGTCTGCAGAAAATCAGAATTCCTTGGAGCAAGAAAAGGCCGTATAATACACAAATAGTCTAAAGACATTTCTTGTCTGAATAGTGGTGCAACATCGCATATGTGTAACAGCAATGAACTGTTCCATGAAATTCATGAGGTAGGTGATACTTATGTTAAATTAGCTGCTGATAAAATAGTTAAAGCTATTGGAAAAGGAACTGTTACATTTAAAGTTCGTATAGGTTCTAAAACTGAAAATATAAAACTTAAAAATGTACTGTGTGTACCCGAGTTGAAAAATAATTTAATCTCAGTGTCTAAAGTAACTCGAAATAATCTTTCAGTAATTTTCAAAGAAAAATGTGCTCAAATAATTAATTCTAATAATGAAACAGTAATTTTAGCTAAACGTGAAAATGATCTTTATTTTATCATGCCAATATTTGAATCTGTATCAATTGCTAAAGAAATAGATCAATGGCACGTAAGATTTGGCCATTTAAATGAAAATGATCTTAAAAAACTTCAATTAAATAACATGGTTAGAAGTCTTTCTTTTTCTCAAAATGACTCTCTTTCTACGTGTAAAATATGCGTTCAGGGTAAACAAACCACAATCCCCCTTCCCAAAGAATCTAAATATAGAAGTACTGAGTTGTTAAATCTAATTCATTCTGATTTGTGTGGTCCCATGAGAACTGAATCAATAGGTGGATCATTTTATTTCGCAATATTTATCAACGATAAATCTCGATATGTTCACGTTTATTTTCCGAAATCTAAGGATGAGGTTAAAGAAGGTTTCAGAAATTTTAAAGCATTCTTTGAAAATAAACTTAAATGTAAAATCAGAATTCTGTGAACCGATAACGGGCTAGAAAATTTAGGGAAAGACTAATAAATTTCTTAACGATGCGGAAATAAAACATGAATTGAGCACTCCTTACACGCCAGCCCAGAATGGCTTTGCCAAAAGATTAAATCGCACTTTAATTTCAATGACGCAGTGTTTGTTATTGCAATCCAATCTGCCTCAGAAATTCTGGGCCGAAGCTGTTAATACGGCTGCTTACATTCGAAATCGCTGTCCAATGCGAGGATTAAAAGGCGAAACAAAAACACCTTACGAAGTGATGTTTGGCAGAGTACCAGCTGTCTCTCACTTCAGAACCTTTGGCCAAAAAGCATTTCCACTAAATAAAAGGCCAAGAAGAGGCAAATTTGATATTTGATCTAAAGAATGTATTTTTATTGGCTATTCTGATAAAGCAAAAGCGTATAGACTTTGGGATCCCGAGGCACCTAAAGTAATAATAAGCACTAAGGTAAAATTTATTAATGAGTTTGAAAACTGCTGTAGTTATGACTCAATAACAAGAAATACATCTGCCTTTCGCTTCGGAGGAAAAAATTATAAATAAAACATGTGATAAATCATCACCTCTGGACGCAGCGAGTCGCCACTTGACTCTGAATCTGAAAAGGAAAGCGTAAGTGATTTAGATAGTGAATCAATGCCCTCTATCCTGATTAAAAGGTGGCCTGGTCGACCCAAGATAAAAACAGGTTTACCAGGAAGGCCTAAAAAGGAATATTACTATACAGTTTTAAATAAAAATGAAAAAAACTCAAAATGCTGTTGAGGAAAGCATTAATCCTATGGTGCAAGAAGCATTAAATGGACTATATGCTGAAAATTGGCATAATGCCATGCTGTTAGAATATAATTCGTTTGTTCAAGAAAAGGCTTGGAAATTAGTAAAAAGACCTGAAAACAATTATACGGTCTTAAACAGACAGGACGTTGGTGTTACAAAAAGTTGGATGAAAAATTAAAATCTATGAAATTTAAATCTCTTAATTCAGATAATTGTGTTTATATTAAAAAGACGTCTAACAGTGAAACTATTATAATTGTTTATATAGGTGATCTTATCATTTTTACCGATTCTAAGCAAACGTATGAAACAATTCGCGATAGCTTAGCTTCTGCTTTCAAAATGAAAGACTTAAGGAAATTACATTTTTGCTTAGGCATAGAATTTTGCCAAAATAAGAATTAAATTAAAATTTCTCAAAAGAAATACGTTGATGATATTTTAAATCGGTATAGTATGCAAAATGTTAAATCTGTATCTTCACCTATAGATAACAGCAAAAAATTATCAAAAGAGACGAGTCCTAAAAGCAAAAACGAAATCACCAACATGAAAAATGTTCCATTTAGAAATCTGATCGGATCAATAATGTACCTTTCAGTAACCAGATATCACATACGCCGTGAATTTCTTAAGTCAATTTAACAACAATCCCAGAAAAGAACATTGGCATGCTGCGAAAAGAATAATTCGATATCTAAAGGGAACCCAAGATCAAGGATTAATTTATACGAAAACAGGAAAACCACTCATCGCTTTTGTGGATGCAGAATGGGCATCAAATGTCGATCGAAAATCCTGAACAGGTTTTGTACATATATTAAGTAGTTCAGCCATAACCTGGGAATCACGAAAACAACGCAGAGCTCTATCTTCAATGGAGGCGGAATATATGGCTCTGCCTGAGGCCGCCAAAGAAACCGTCTCCCTACGTTGTTTCCTGAAAGAGCTGGGTTACAACATAGAAAAGCCAACAACAATATACTATGACAATCAAGTAGCTCAGAAAATTACGAACAACTCGGTGTTTCACTCCCGTACAAAGCACATAGACATTCGCCATCATTTTTGTATGTGAAGTAGTATATGAATGTGGTGAATTGGATGTGCAGTACATACTTACCAGTAAAATGGGAGCTGATGTGTTAACCAAACCCCTGACTCCTGTTAAACATCAAAACTGTTGTACATTTATAGGATTGAATATTGTTTAATATGTATTTTGTTTTACTTTTCAGAAATAGGAGAATCAACGTCGAAAGGGGATATGTTGGCAACTGCCGTTGATCCCCTAGTGCATGCGCATGATAAGCAAGTTCTCTGCTGCGTAATACTTTTCTATGTAGTTAGCCAACGTCAATGGTGAGTCTCGCATGTAAGCAAGAAGTGCTAAGCACTGTGTAATATCATGTTTCTACTCTGTTGTTCAAAGTCTTCATAGCTTAAATAAATGCTTGTCATGTATATGGAAAATGTCATTATATTCTTCAATTTTCATTGAAATATGATATCTGAAATTTTCCGTGATTACAATACTTTACTTCATACGAGGAAGTAAAAATATATAAATGTGAAATTCTAAATGACAAAGTTGTGAAGCAACTGCCGAGTCTTACTGTGAAAGGGATGTTAGAGTATCAGGTGTTCCAAACATTTGGGTGCTGGATTATGAAATTTTTACTGCATTATGTTTCCTAAATTTTTCCAAAATAGAACAATATCAGTTAATGAATCCAATTAAATTATTCATCAAATTATCTTAAGCTTAAAAATTTTTATTCCTTTGATTTCTCTTCTACGTTGTGGATAGTAATGCATTTCTTGCTTCCTTTCACCTATTTCAATGATGCATTTTTGGCTTGCAGTACAGAATATTTTCGCTCTTTGAAAAAGAAAACTCAATGCCTCTCTCTCAAAATGGTAGAATTTCCCTCAAAAACTAACATCAGTCTACAACTTAGTTTCGTTGAAGTTTAAATATCATATTATCATGCTGCTTTTCCACCTGTTCTTTGATTTTATCCTGGGAGGAGGGATATTATATTCTTCAATCAACTTAAAAAAAAAAAAAAAAAAAAATAGAATTACGGGAGGGGTTACCAATTTACTGTCATTTTTTAAACATCCTGAAAAAATTACAAATGATTTATTCTAATGAGAATTATTTCTGACATATACAAAACAATTCAATCATTTCTGTTCTTTAATAGAAGAAAAATAATGAAATATGTTCAATCATGTTGATAGATTTGATAATGCTGGGTTTGATTCATATTTGAATAATAGGCACTGAGACTCAATAATAGAAAATAATGATATTATATTTATAAATGTAAACAATACTGTATGTGCAATAAACTATGCAATTCACAGGTTATTACTAATTTAAAAATTAATACAATAGAACAAATATTTAAAAAATTAGTAAAATTTCAGTTTTCTGGCAATATGATCCAAATCTAAGATATCAGCACTTGTAGGCAAAGTAGGTGTTGGAGGATCAGGAAGCTGTAATTAAAAGATAACTTCTTAATGTTTATCATTACAAAAACACCTAATATTTAAATTTTGGAGATCATATTTAATATATCATATATGAATTTCATAATTTATAGCTACCAGAGGTGACACTAAAGTACTAGTGACCAACCTGTTAGTTACTGATACTTCAGTTTAATTTTATCTCTAAAATTTATTCAGACTTGCTCTATTACTTCAATATGCCACTGATGACCAACAGCCTTAATGAGCACTGGCATGTTTAAAAATCAATCTAAATTTTGCTGCACTGCTTCATACTGGCAATCCATTGGTTACGGCAGTGCTCCGTAACCTTTTCTTACCTGCGACGCACAAAAAATCTTTCTGGAATTTCGTGGCATACCAAAGAGTTCCGAGTTATCAAGGAAGTGCCGAAAAAATTCAAATGCTGACACACTTACAATCACACACACAACCACACAACAGTGAAATATATAAAAACATTTAAAATAGACATTATTAAGGGAAAAATTGTCGTGTATTAAATACATGATAAAAAATTGCAAAATGTCAAATACATGTATCTGATTGCGGCACACCTATATCCTACTCATGGCACACCAGTGTGCCGCGGCACACCGGTTGCAGAGCACTGGATTATGGGATAATTGTTAACTGATAGGTCATCAGTGATTTCCTGAATTCAATATCTATCTAAATTTACTGCACTTTGCAACAATGACATGATGTAACATTCAACCTGTAAGTCACCAGAGACCAACATTCGTGACATGTACTGATGTAATTTTGATTGAAATATCAATCTAAACTTACTGCATTACCTCAGACACTGGAGCCCTTTGGCTTTCTCGAACAGCCTGACAATTTGTTATCACTGGTGACTGTGATGGACATTAGTGTGTTTTGATTAAATTTGCCTAAATTAGAATTTCTTAAACTTTTTGGTGCGGGGACCCCCTAATATTTACCAAAATTTTGTGGGACCCCATAAACAGACACACAATTTCTTCATTTGTACTGTAATATACTAGTCCAGTTTTAGGTCACTGACTATTAGTAAAATAAACCTTTCTTTTATAAAAAATATATATATATCGAAATCTTTTCATTTTGTCTTTGTCTGTAATATCTTATCGTAGTCTGTTTTCAGACACATTATGTAAAAATATTTGGTAATTATAGGTTAGGTTATTTAATTACAGCAAAGCCTCAAGGGCTATCTGCCTGAGGGAAGGGATGCCTTCGTGGAGGACTTTCTAAGGGAAACTGGCTTGTATGAACATTAGACATGGGAAAAACCACGAAAACACCCATGCAGCCAGCCCGTTCGCGGGATTCGAACCTCGGACCGAACTACCATTTTGTAATTATAAAATTTTTAAAATAAGTTAAAGAAATATCAAAATTGCTAAATTTTTGGCAACCCCCTACTGCAAGTCTCGCAACCCCGATTGGGGTTGCAGCAACCCGCAGTTTAAGAAACTCTGGTCTAAATTGAATGAACTGCCCCACTCTGGTGACATATGAATTGATCCCCCAAATGATCAAATGAACCTAAACCTACATGTGACTGGTAATTCAAAAGGCTGTATATACTCTGATTTAATTAAAAAAAATATATATATAAAAACATTCCATAGAGGTAAGATATAGGGGAGAGGCCTGATCTCGTGTTTTCCATATGCTTCCTGGAAGCAGTAACACAGTTTTGGTAACCAAAACATTCAGTGACTTACCATTAAGATAAATAGGTTTTGACAAGATTAGAAATGAACATTTCATAATTACATTATAAATCATAAGTATAAATATCTATATATTTTCTTTTTGTACAATATTTCAGAATCATAAGTATCTGAAAGAATACATTTTTAAACAACATTTCATTCTAAATGGAATTAAATGCCATACTTTTTTTGAGAAAGTTTTAATTTGAATAAAATGTTTTCAAAAGTTTTTGCTAATTACTTTTAAAAAAATTAAGGTGATTTGATTTTATATGGTTAAAGATTAGAAAAATTAAAGTTTATTGTATTATTAATATTAAAATCACACATTATTTCTATTCCATTTACAGAGCTTCTTTCTAAAATACTTTCTCAAATACGAGATCATTTTCAGCTTCTCAGGAATCTTTTTCAGTCACTCTATAATTAATGCTCTATTTGGTTCATTTAAAATTAGAGTACTTTTGATTTTAATAGAGAAACACATTAAATGGTGCCACTGATTTTCATGTACTTAACTTTCTATGAGTATTTCTGAAAAGATAAAAAGAGAGGGTTTGTTAATATTATTTAATACTTTTAACTGAATTATTTTAATATTTAATCTTTTTTTTTTAAGCCTTGATTTCACCAATACACATTCTAAAAAATTTTAACATGCAAAATACCTAATACCTTCTGTGGGTGGAAAGGACCACAATTCATCATATTGATCAGGGTTTCTATACTACACTGACCTTAGTTTCAATCATGAAAGTTTGAAGTTGAGTTGGTAATGGTGAAGTAAAAGACTAAAATTTAAAAATCAGGAGGGTAAAATGTCATTAAAATGTAGTACCCTTTAAATCAGTTGTCCTAAGAAAAATATGAAACAAAATATTTCTCCCTAGGTATCCAAATTTTATAGCATCTTTTACTGGTTATATTTCAGTTTTATAAGACAGTTAATTCGGGCTCCTAAGGAAATTTCCAAGCTTTATATTAGCTTCTGAAAGTTTGTATCTTAACACATTCACTGCCAATCACGTACTGGCACGATGGACATTCTTGCTGAAGAGCCTATCATGCTCTTGTGCGTGGTAATGTCTCAGGTGCTGCTGGCGTGGGGAAAAGCAATGTCTCATTATTTATTTCCCAGATCAATCAGCATTATGTTATGGATATATATGCTGGTATTGGCATGGAGTGAAGGTTAGAAACTAGTTGAAAATGTATGTGGTTTGGAATGGAAACAAAGTTTCATTTTGTGCAAAGATCATACACGGATAACATTCTGAAATACATAGTTTGCAATAATATCATTGTAACTATCTTCTAATAAATTTATTTGTAATATATATATTTGTTTGTGATATAGTTTCATATCAAAATAATGCATATTGTTACTTATTTTGATTCACTTTTGATCAGCTCAAAGCTGATCTGCTGTCATTATTATTAAGAGTGCATCTTTCTCAAATGAATGCAATGTCAGGATCATTCTAATGTACAAGATCTTAAAAAATATCGCAAGATCTCAAAAAGAAAATCTGAAAGGTTTCAGATTTTGAATTACATCCAAAGAAATGCTTTTTTTAACATTTTGTGTGTTATTAACAATCGTGTTCTTTCCACTTAAACCATAAAATTCAGTTCAAGAGCAATATCGCAAAATAATTTTTAATTGAGCACATCTTTAGAATTTCCAATACACATTCTCACAAGCTGGAGGGGGGGGAAAAATCTGTACAACGTTGCCATTGCTTGCTTTGAAATCCTCGAGTTGTTTGTTAACCAAAAATTCGTTTAAGTTTTACAAAATATGAAATCAATAATAAAGCAAATTCCAAATATGGTCTTCCAAATGCTCATATTTGCAATAGAATTACATCATTCAAAACTTGATAGCTGAAGGAACCGTTGTTTTATCACAATGCGAGAAACATACATACATTTATACAGATTGTTCATTATTTAATTTCTTCAAATATAATACAGGGTGATAATATTTGGTGGCAACAGTTTGAAAAGTGAAACAGACATTCAGACTAATTCGATGCAAAATATCATAATGAAAACAATAGTCCCTCAGGGACAAGGCCCCTTTGGATTAACAGTAGTTCCTAGGTACCGGTGGAAAAATTATAAAAATAGAGCTCATTCTTCGTTATAAACAGATAATAAAATAATTAAGATAAGATGAAAGACTGTAAATGTACAATAAAGAAAATTACTTCTTAGAAATTTGGAAAATTTATACAGTATATATGGCTCATAACTGTTTTTTGCTCATAAGAAATTATAAAAAAAATAAAAATTTTAATAATGGATAATCTATATTTTTAATTTTGTTTGCACATCCATGCAAAATAGATACATGAAATCAACATTTATTTGCATATAAGTATGTAATTATATGCATAATATTTGATTGCATTACAAATCTCTTATTTGTTTCCTAACAGCATCTATCATGTAACTGTTCAATATAAGATTAACACATTCACTGCCGATTATGCACTGGCGCATGATTGGCATTATTGCCGAAGAGCTAATCAAGCTCTGCCGTATAGTGTGGAGTGATGTTTCAGGTGCCAGTCATGCTCTGACATGGGAAAAGCGATGTCTCGTTGTTTCTTTTCAAGTTCAATCAGCATTACGTGTTTGAATATGTATGCTATAGTTTAGAGTATCTCAAATACAACCCTGGCTAGCATTCTGCCAAAATCTGCTGTCGTTATTATTAAAATTTTTGTGACTTGTCCAAAAGGGGCGCTATTACTTGCTATGATATGAAAGTCTTCTCTTCTCCGGAAAGAGATACGCTGAAGGGAAAGAAAGTCCATCCTTCCACCCTATTTTGAGAATAATTCGGTCTGAATAGCGCAAGCGTGTTTGCGCTCATGGTCGCAGATGAGGTGGTCGAAGTATAGTATTGGCATGGAGTAAAGGTTAGAAACTAGTTATAAATGTATGTGGTTTGGAATGAAAAAGTTTCATTTCATGCAAAAATCATACACGAATAGCATTTTGAAATATATATGTGGTTATAATGAAAGTTTTCCACCAAAAAATGTTCTTAATACAGTTAGGGAAAAAAAAAAAGCATTAAAGGGATACCTCTAGTGCAGGTAGAAATCATCACCCAAATCTATGATTTCCTACCAATATTTTGGTGATTTTTCCAAGCCTTCAGCCAAGAAACTTGGTGGCTGCGAGTCCAAAAACAGATCAACCTCATTTCGGGTGTCCTGTGCTGAATGGAACATAGCATCAGCAGGATGCAGCTGCAAGTATGGAAGAAGGTAGATGTCCGAAGGAGCGATGTCGAGTCTATATGGTATGGTGGATGTGGCAAAAGATCTCATTCGAGTCCATACAGAGTACAGCAGGTGAATGCAGACACAGTTGTCTTGCATTATCGAGATGGAACATAACCTTTTTGTGATGGAACTCAGTTTGACGTTTCTCCTCGATAGCAGCATCATCATCTCACTGTACACCTTACTGTCGAGGGTTTTACCCTTTTTCAGATATTCTTATGGATAATACCATGGCAATCCCACCACATACAAAGTATGGTCTTTTTGTTAATTCAATTGCACTTTGCAACGTTGCTGATGGGCTCACCGGATGCAGACCAACCCTTTTTTCAGCCTGTGTTGTTGAAATAAACCCACTTATCCTCACAAGTCATGATCCAGTCCAGAATTTTGGCCTTGCATTGATATTCGAGTAGATTAGTGCAGGTCTGAATGTGTTTTTCCTTATCTGCTTGAATTAGCTCATGCAGCACCCAGTGACTGAACTTGTAAGTCAAATTTATGCGATGCCTAGTGTGACTAATGGATATGGCACTAACATCTAATTCCTTAGCAAAGTTTCAAGGGATTGCATACTGATCTTCTTCCACACGTTCTCGTACACGGGTCTCACAACATCAGTAGGCCGGCCAGAGCACTCTGCTTCTTGAATGTCATAGTCATTGTTTTTGAACTTTCAGTACCAAACCTTTACACTGTCATATGATACAACATTAGTACATAAAGCTATACACAGAACTAGAAGTAAATGGTGGTTCTAATCTGGTACCATGATAGTTTCACTTCAAATACCTTGTACTTAATGATAATGGTATGTTTATACAAATTTCACAACAGTGTTTTAAAACAAGTCTCTTTCTTTCAAATACCAAAAATCATTTGAAAAAATATGATTAAACACGGCAAAGCAAACTGTCTGCACAGATGATATTTGCAGTGGCAGGAAATTTTCGTTAAAACTTGATATTAGTACTTTTCTGTTATCGGGATCAGATTCAGAAATCTATGTATGTATATGCATATATGTGTATATACATATATACATGCATACATGAACACATACATCCATACGTGCATTTCTGAATCTGCTCATGATAACAGAACTGTACCCCAATATTTTGCAATAATATCATTTTAACTATATTATAATAAATTCATTTGTAACATATAGATTTGTTTGTGATATAATTTCATATAAAAATAATGCATATTTTTACTTATTTTGATTCATTTTTAAATACCATGCACCTGCGTGTAATGCGGCATTGTAAAAATAATTTTACCTTTAGTGCCGATCACACACTAGTGTGCAGTCACAAAATTCTATGCGTAAAGGCTTAGTAATTTATGTGGTACACATAATAATCTCTTATCACCTCTTTTAAATCATATTATAATATGCAAGTGAGCATATGGATACAATCTATTTCTATGACACAGTATTAACTATCAACACAACGCCACATGACCAGCAGTGAAAGTGTTAAAAGTAAATCTTTCTTTAACGTAACTCTATTTAATATGCACTTTACTTTGATATTTGGGCAAAGTGGTAAACGATGCTGAATGCCTTATCTTTGGGCCTGGGTTCAAATTTCATAGCAGGTTTGGGTATGTGTAAGTGTATAATGTTTTCGTAGGATGGAAGCACTTAAAATACATGGTGAACCAAATTCCTCTCAAGAGCTTGGCAGAGAAAGAAGGATGGAAGATCTTTGGACCCATCCTTCACCTTCAAAACTGGGATGTAGTTGAGCAATGTCACCCAGAAATTAACCAGGGCCATGCAAATGATAGACGTAAGCTTGCACTCCTCACCATGATAAAGTTTTGATCACCATGATTTGTTTTGAGGTTACTGTCAGAATGCAGTATAATATTAATCATAACATGCTTTCTCAAATTCATAACACATAAATATATGTTAACAGAAATGTTATATTCCTTAAAAGAATTTTCACAGAGAAATGTTCTTGACATTTGCTGTTTCTAAGAAAGAGAATTTTGCTTAAAAGTGACAGTAAATTGTTTGCTTACAACAAAATAAGTATTTTATTTTTGTGATACTAAAATTTCAATTTTTGCATATACTTTTTTATTCTAAATGAATAAATTAGAAATATATTTCTTTTACTGATTAGACTACTGCACAAGTTTATAATAAAAGATAAAAATTAATAAAGATATATAATAATAATTAATAAAAAGATAAATAATACAATAATAAAAAAAGATATATGATTTTGCAAATATGTATTTCAAAACAGCAAAAATGTTCTTACGTTGTTTTTGCAATTGTCTCCAAATGCTTTCATATTAGAATCATTTTCTGAAATTAAAAATAATATTAAAATTCTAAAAATTAATTTATATAAATAAAAGTAACATACACTGTATTTATGAATGACAATTACCATAACTTTTAATATTTTCTTGATGTGTTTGTATATCTTCAAATATCATTTTAATATTTGCTACAGGAACTGGCATTTCTGGAGAAGAGGACTTTTTAGAACTGGAATTAAAAATAAACTGAAATGAAAAATTTTGAAATCTTTCATCATATTAATCTCATCCTTTTATTGAAAACATTACATAACATTACATACCTTAAACACTTGATAATGGCATAATGATTTACATGCAAATGAGATTTTGCTTTACTACATTAACTTGCTGTATAAATTATTTTACTTTCATTCAGACTGATTTAAAATTTATATTATGATTTGCATCTATGAAAATAATTGATAAAGTGAAATATTATATAGAATAAGATAAATAAGACAAAAAGTAAAATGTTATGTAAATAAGGAATTACCAAAACGTTCTACAAGTATCTTAAAAGATATTGTTACCAAATAAATTAAAAATAAAACAACTTCAAATTCATGTGCTAAAAATAAAACAACTTCAAATTCATGTGCAACACAAGACAGAGAAGTATGTATACTCACTCTAAGCGAGATGATGTGATCACATTCTGCGATTTTGGAGAATGTGTACCGAAGTCTGGAAACATAGGAGTTAATTGAGAGACCTGAATTTTACTACATTTTCTATACAAGAGTTAAAGAATATTATGTGGGATAAACTTTGAAGAATATCATATTACACAGATTAAATGAGATGTACTAGTAATTGAAAAACATAAATTATAAAAAAATAGCACTTTTTATTGGGGGGGGGGGGAATCAAAATCTTAAAAATATAATTTAGTCAAGAAAATAACCTTTTATAATGCATTAACAGTTTATGCATTTTAAATATAAATATCAACTATGAAAATAATCATTAATGTTACTATAAATAGAATTCTATTAATCTGCAAGCATATAATCTTTGAATATGCCTCATTCAGATTTTTTTTTTTAAACTAAACAAAGAAAATTTCAATTATCAGAAAATCTGGCATGGCAGCAAATTTATAAGCAAGTTCTTTTATATGAACATTATAATGTATTTATAATACATTTTGGTTGAAAAAGTGAATTTATTTCAATCCTGAAGTTATTTAGCATTTTTATGCATGTATGCAAGTGTTCCTTTTATTATAGATACCTCTTTCTTGTGTGTTTGTTCTGCTGTGTTTAAAATTAAATTTTGAATTTATGTGTTTAACATTTATTTATGTATTTATTTTTATTTATGTATAACTTTTGAGATGTACTTTAAAGTTGCTTCATTATTAACTTGTTTGTTTAGATAGCATAAGTTTTTTTTTTTTTTTTTTTTTTTTTTTTTTTTTTTTTTTAAATATGGATGGAGAATATAAAGAGATCTTTAAAAAGAGCATTTGTAGAAATTTAATAGATATGAAAAGCAAAAGCAGGAGAAAGAATGAGGAAAGTTCAATTCAAAAATTTTTGTTTTAATTACTAGTAGCACATGCACATAATGTAATAGTAGTAGTAACATAGGAATTAATTTAAAGAAAGATCTTGCTGCTGAAATATTTATAAACACTGCATTTATTTTTGTTCCCATCAAGAGAAAAAAAATTCTCATGAAAGTAATTTTACTGCTTGACATAAATTACATCTTACAAAAATATTTTGATACCTTTTCATAAAGAGTTCTTTCCTTTAAAAAATCTCTCTTAACATTATGCTATTCTCTCCACCACATTTACTCTTGTGCTGACATTATTTTATTTGGGAATGTATATGCCAAGTCTGTGCAACAGCAAATTGAACATACTCATTTAAAAATTTTTAAAAAGGAGAGGCAGAGAGAGGTTATTCTTGTTTATTATTTTATTCATCAGTTTATCAAGGCTTGTTGGCTTATAACCAGACAAAGAGTATACTCACAATTAGATTAAATTAATAAAAGTTTTGTATTTTTCATTTATTCTACACATATATGTGTTTATATATAAACAATGTAAATTTAGTATAGAAAGGGGGGAAAATGTGCAAAGAGAATTCAGAAAACTTGATCTGTAATCCCTACTATCCTTGGTGTCGAGGTGTGCAGATTATCAAAGTCTATTGTACCAAAACATAAGCTTAAGGTGAAAATTCTTGAAACATGACCACAAAGTTAGATAATTAGTTAGAAAGTTAGTTAAATGTCTCAATGAAATTTAACTAGAAATAATATGAATACTTACTTTCACATGGGTTTAATTAAAGATGGTCATTAATAGTAGAGTTACGCCAATAAGTGGAAGTGCTCATGATGTTTTAGGAAATCTGATTGATACTGTATCCCTAATCTTAATACTCAGATAACATCCCTCATCTCATTATTTGTAGATAATTCATGGATTTCATAATCATCTTTTTCAAAAAGTTTTTCATACGATATGCCTGGATTTGTTTCAGAAAGCAACAGGCTTTCTGAATCTTTGGTCATGAATGTTGCTGCAATGGTTTTGTAGTTAAAAAGGCGGCATTTGACAAATTGAAACAGAATATTTATTAAAATAACACTAAAGCATATAATTTAATTTGGAGTAGACTATCACTCCTACAACATACAGTTAGCAAGCACCTTACTCCTCCATGGCAAACATTCAACTCCGTTAAATCTAGCAACCTCTTGGGAGAAGAGGCAGAATGCATCAAGTGTGCCTTGTCGATTGCCAAATAGTCACCGAGTACTACAGTTGCAACTTGCTTTTTTTTCATCACTATCTATCTATGTGTTCAATTTCTCACAACTGATGTTAGTTGAAGATGCTGCTTTTAATTCTGTATTTCATCATTTATTAAAAGGTTAGCATACATAAAACAGTGCTCATTGTCTTTTCCAACATGCAGTTTCATAGGTTCAGCAAATTTAAAGCAACAAATAGATTAGTTTCCATTACTAATTTACTTGCACATTTACCTGTAACATCCATGTCATAAAGGATTCTCAAGATATTCAAAGCAAAAAATTTATTCAGAAGTTTTTTAATTCCTGAAGAAAAAAAACCTGAGTCTTGTTGCCCTTGAAATCTGTAGTTTTAATTCAAAATCTACAGCAAACTAAGATTGCTTCCCCCCCTAATGTAAATAGTTTACCGAAATCAAAACCACATTATTTGGTGATTAACTTCAATTAAAAAAATATTTTGAGCATATTACCCACATTGTTAGTTGCAATAAATTATATATTTTTTCATGTTTTCATATACAGACTGATGGAACTTTAGCAATTCGATAACAGTATGCGAATGAAATCATTTACCATGACCGTATTAAGTGATATCTGCTCTATTACTCTAGTAAATTAGCATGGCTTCATAACAAACTATTTTATCCATTTCTGTCTTTCAAGATGTAATTGCACTGTTCATCGAAGTTAAAGGATAAACTGAAAAAATATGCTTACTGATTAAAGTTTTTAAACAATATCAAATGGTAAAATTATATTAATTATCAGCAACTGAATGTGAAATTGGATTTCCACACATAGGTTAGCACATAAAACATGTAGATTTAGATAACTGACAATAAGTTGTGCAATGAGCACAGATTGGACTTTAGGCGTGCTGTTTAAAGTTGATGCAGTTTCTAAGAGGTATCAGTATTTATTAGTTATGACTTAAAGTCATCATTTAAATGAATGGTATAAATGGTAATTAATTGGCAAACTCAAGAAAGAAGAAACATAAATAGACGTCACCCAAAATATAAATATCTTATAAAGTATTATATTAAGAACATGGAACAAAACACAACCAAAGATCTAAATATCCCATAAAATGTCACATTTAAAACATGGAACTACATTTTAAGCAGTGAGACAGTTTGTAGATAGCCTGGTCGAGGGCAATCACGAGCAACAACTGCATCCAAATGCTGTTTTCTGACATTGTTTGGCTCAGAGAAACACTGAAGCAAAAGAGTTTGTTTTTACATCTTCAGGCTTCTAATCGGGTTTGAATCAAACATTTTACTACTGGATGAAGTCTTCATGAGGTTAACAAAATCAATGGTTTATGTCCTATTCATTTCAACTTATAAAGAAAGTTGTTTGAGCTGGTATCATCATCAAACTCTGTGGAACCAAGGGGAATCGGACTGTACTTTTTACTGACAAGTCTAGATATAGCTTTAATTGCAGTTCTAGATTTTTTTTTTTTTTATCCACAGAAAGGAAGAAACACAGAACTTTCCTTCCTTTGCTCATGAAAGACTGCATCTCCATGGTTTCAGATGAAAGTATCAAAAATGGCCACTATGAGCTATATATTATTTTCAATGGAGGTTCTGTAACCAGCCACAAATGTATGGATAAGATTTTGGAACCCATGTAAAGCTGTTTAGAAGTGTTTTTGGCATATGTTTTCTGTTAATGGATGGCAATGGTTATCTGCATCAAGCATCTCTGGTGTCAAAACTACTTGGAAAGAGCAAATATCACTTGAATGGATTGGTCATCCAACTCACCAGACTTGAATTTGATACAGCATGTGTGGGATACCTTCGGCCATTGCATTGCAGCATGTCAGATGCCTCCTCAGATACTTCAGGATCAGAAATGTACACTTTCAGAAGAATGGCACGCAACTTCATAATATGATCAACAGTAAGTTCTATAAAATTAAAGTGTGAGATTTTCGTTTCTATCAGGGATAACCATGCATCATACTGAGGAAAGATATGTTGCAAACCAGAAGATATTGCTTTTCCATTATTTTTAAATTTATAAAAATTAGACTTTAAAATATTGAGATTAATCTACTGCAAATGTGATAATTTATGATAAATAATGGTTTTGTACAAATTGTTTTCTTCATTTTTAATAAGTGATTTAGGTGATCAGGTCACTTGATGCAGGCACCACAACTTCTGTCTGATCCTGTGTCCTGTACGCAGTAATTAGACAACAAATAGCACTGCTTTATAGTTAACATAAATGGAAAAACAAGATAGGAATAAAAAAAAAAATATTCCAGAAGCTGAAGAACACTTATTAAGTCATTTCAGATCCAAAGCTAGCAGATGACGGTAGAATACAGATAAGAAAATTCAAGATAGAAGTATAAGAAAGTTTGAATTAAGTAATTCCATCTATTGATGAATAAGTTCTTCTTTCTCCGCAAAGCGGAGGAGAATTTTTATTGCCTGCAAACTTGCAATCAACTTTTGAAATGGTGACTTGGCATTTTTAACAGAAATGTTTTCGAGATAAGAAGTATTCCTTGATAATACAGTAGTCTATATTCTTTTTGGTGACAGTTACAATGTAACCTTTTCTGTTATTTCAAAAAACAATTTTTGTTATTTTTGCGAGCTTCTAATCCTTCATTGCATACGGTTATGATGAAATTATGAATCTTAATCCAGGCTATTTTATCTGAAGTAATAATTATTGAGAATTTTTTTCTTGAACTGATTCAATATATTTTACTTCCGGTTCAGCATGGTCTTAATTGTCTTCATCGAGTGGTATTCCATTAGGTAATTTCATGAATCTATTAATTCTGTGGAATGTCTATTGATTCTTCATTACATGAAAACTTAACTGGTTTTTCTGGGATTAATCCACTCATTTTCAGCTGATAATTTCTCCTCTGTTCAGAGTTTCGTATTCAGGTGCTGATGCTGCTGAGGATTTTTCAGGGACTGCATTTCCATTCAATTTAGACACTTCAGTGCAATTTCCATATTTGTTTTCTCGTAATTTCCATATTTGTTTTCTCGTAATTTCCATATTTGTTTTTCAAATCCATATTTGTCTATTCCCCCCTTTGATTTCGTCAATCTAGGATATCTGTTGCCATTCTGGTTAATCATCTCATTGGTTCCTAATCATTTATCTTTTCATAGTCCTATTTTTGATTCAGCATCCAAGTGATTTTATTCTTTAAATTCTCAGGACAAAAATTAGGCTTGACACACTGAGAGGATAAAGAAATGTGTGTATAAGAGGCATCACTGAAGTCATCATCATTGACTGTCCTGAAAAGGGATATAGTCGATAACTAAAGGCAAAAAGAAATCAGAAAGCAAAGTCACTGCACGGATTAGAGGTTAACAGTAGTACATTTTCATACACAAAGGCAGAAGACAGAATGATGAAACTGAGTACATTTTTTTAATAATAAGTAACAGCTAATTTTATTTCTTTCAATATGCTTTAATTCTGATGAGAGGTGCAGTGGCAGAAAAATCTTTTTTTCACTTACATTTCCCTTTATAATAATGTGAAAAAGCAACATATTTAAGCTTAAAATTAAGATCGTCAGAAATATTGCAAAATTTCTGCAAATGAAATATGATTAAAAATTTAACTTCTTTTCACAGTGTATTTTCACCAAAAAACTTACATGTATGCATCACTTGCTTAAGAGTTCTAGAAACTCTGTTTCTTCAGTAACACCTCATAAAAAATAACACTTGATATGGAGCATAATAAATACATTAAAATAAAGGGTAAACATAGATTTACGGGTGCCCTTGGTGAAAATTGACGATTTTTGGTGGTACATGGACATGGAGTTTGCAATTCTTTGACTTGTTATTTTGGGTTTGTATAGCGGCGATTTTTGGTGCAAAAACCACTGCTACACAAAGCCAAAATAACAAGTCAAAGAATTGCACAAGCTCGGTATCCATGTACACACATACTGGCATCACCACATAAATTCACAAAAATAAGAGTAAAAAATATCCTCTCTAGTGCCGATGTCCTCCAGACGTTCGACCATACGCATTTCCTTTGTACAAACAGGACACTTATAATGGCTACTAAGTAAACATTCATTTACACACCAGTCAATTAATGCTTTTTTCCCTTCAAATCATACAGAAATTCAAATTAATCTTATCCTAATCAGCCATTTTACCATGTAAACCACAAAATAACCAACATAATCCAACACACAAATCTTTTCCCATCATTCAAATTCACCACAATCACACAACCAATTATGTCATAATAGGGTTTCCATAACATTCAACTGCTTAAGTACCATAAATGAAACAACTACTTGGCGATAAATGAAACAACAACTTAACAATAATCCAAGAGGCACCCTTCAATATACTCTAACCAAATAAAGCATGTATCATAATCAAAATTGCTTTTATAACAATAGATGATAAAAGTTTGTTTATATATTCTATGCAATTATATGGGAAAATGTTCAAAATTTGAAAAAATATTTGAAAATAAAAAAATAATTAAAAAAATATACTTTATGATGTAGTTCAGTTATAAAATTACATTCTTACAATAAATAATAATAAGGATACACTTTCGTAACTGGGGTAGTATCATAAATAGGCTGCTCAGGTTCTTTAGATAAAACCACTGTAAAATACCAAAAATAAACAAGACTAGATGAACATAAAAAATTACACTGTAACAATAAAAGCAGAAATGTTATTGCTATTAATAATGCTTATTTAAATGCAGTTTAACAAGCACTGAAAATATCTAATATTCTTCAAAGTGAAAACATATAAAATACAATATTCTTCATTGTGACATTTTCTACCCACTTATGCAACTACAAAAAATTATTATAGATATTTTCACTACATTACTCACCAATGAAGAAAAGAGGTAAAAGATTAGATTTCAGTAAAATTTATAATTTAATACAAGGTGGAGGAGATTTTACAATTCACAGTTGCATAATATATCTGCAAGGTGCTTACATAACATCCATTAAAAAACCATTTATGACAGTATAGTAATACAGTTTATTATGCAGAATATAACACTGCATAACAGTGTCTCGTAAGACTGCTGTTATTATTATGGGATAACTATAAAGATTATGGGACCGCTTAGTATATTTTAAAAAAAATCACCACATTGTTGTATTTAAACGGTTGCAGTTTTGAATTAAAGATGTAAACATATAAAGAAAAATAAGGTTAATCTTTGGATTATGGTAACTTGGTGATTTTTCAGCGACCAAACCTGCTAGTTTTTTTTGGACGCCATTTTGTTTTCACGAAGTAAAGGCATGTTTTTTTTTTTTTTTAACTCAACATTTTTTCCCAACAATCTGCGAGCCGAATTACACTTATGCTAGAACTTTTATGGAACAAAAGTGATTAATCATGATGAAGATTAGGTGCAAAATTGGGAGAAAGCTCAGAATCGCCCACTGCTTACCGCGTTTTTAAGAATTGCCCATACACGGTATCATCCATGTACACATCGACCTATTTTCACTTAAAAAAAATCCCACAATTGCACAAAAATGGCATTGCGCACACTCATGACTTTATCCATGTACACTGCTAAAGTCCTAGCTAGTAACCTTTATCGCCTTACCAAAATGTCACCAAACTACCTGTTACCATATTCCAAAGATTAGCCAAAAATAATAAATATTGAAAAGAAATAAAGGATTTTATTTGGTTGATCTTTACATTATGGTAACTTGGCATTTTTTTGGCGACCAACTTTCCTACAGCAACCCTCTATTTTTTTTTCCCACCGCCATTTTGTCTTTACGAAGTAAAGACATGTTTCTATTCTTTTTATCTACTGAACACTTCTTCTAACAATCTACTAGCCGAATTACACTTATGCTAGAAATTTTATCTAACAAAACTGCTTAATCATGACAAATATTAACTGCAAAATTGGGAAAAAGTGCACAATACCATACTCCTTACACGTTTTTCAAAATAACACATACACACAAACCATGTACACATCGACTTATTTTTACTTAAAAAAACATCCCAGAATTACACAAAAATGGCATTGCGCACACTCTTCACCAAATCCATGTACACTGCTTTTTTCTCATAAATTAGAAAAATTTCACGAAAATACATGACAATTTTCTGAATCTTTAAACCTGGTAAAAAGAACATATATGAAATTACCTGATCGCGAAAAAGTATTTATCCTTTACAAATATGAACATTTCCACATATAAAATAAATAAAATATCCAAAAACTTTTACCTCTAAATCATCTATTACATTATACACGTCACCAACGAATTCATACTGCAAGTATTACAAATACTTAGTATCAAATATTTAAATTATTTCCATGCACGTTTATTTCAACTTAAACGTATACCAAATTCCTACAAACATAAAATTCGCAAAATAACTATCATTTAATTAAAATATAATTAAATTCAAAAACACTTCTTAAAATATAAATGAGCACATACATTAAATTAATACATACATAAATACCCATTTCGAATTCACATCTATTATATTACAAACGTCACTAACTAATTCATACCGCAAACATTACAAATGGTTACAAATACTTAGTATTAAATATTTAAATTATTTCCATGCACGTTTACGCAAATTACTTTACTTCCACCTTACATTTAGAACAATGCATAAAAATAATATCCTCAAATAATTAAAAATACTAACTTACCTATTCTTCTTCAGAATCTTGATTACGTGTCCGATAAACTTTTCTTATTTCTGTTTCAGGATCTTTAAAATCATACTTATAGTTCACAGCAAGGTACCAGGTAAAATAAATAACTTAATAAAACATCTTTACTTCTATCTCGCACAACCTTGAAGAAATACTTATTACTACCCCTTTCGATTGATCTTTACATTATGGTAACTTGGCGATTTTTTGGCGAAAATTTGGCAACCAACTCTCCTACAGCAACCCTCTATTTTTTTTCCCCGCCGCCATTTTGTCTTCACGAAGTAAAGACATGTTTCTTTTCTTCTTATCTACTGAACACTTCTTCCAACAATCTACTAGCCGAATTACACTTATGCTAGAAATTTTATCAAACAAAACTGCTTAATCATGACAAATATTCACTGCAAGATTGGGAAAAAGTGCACAATACCATACTCCTTACACGTTTTTCAAAATAACACATAAACATAAACCATGTACACGCCGACTTATTTTTACTTAAAAAAAGATCCCAGAATAGCACAAAAATGGCATTGCGCGCACTCTTCACTATATCCATGTACACTGCTTTTTTCTCATAAATTAGAAAAATTTCACGAAAATACATGACAATTTTCTCAATCTTTAAACCCGGTAAAAAAAAGAACATATATGAAATTACCTGATCGTGAAAAAGTATTTATCCTTTACAAATATGAACATTTCCACATATAAAATAAATAAAATATCCAAAAACTTTTACCTCTAAATCATCTATTACATTATACACGTCACCAACGAATTCATACCGCAAGCATTACAAATACTTAGTATCAAATATTTAAATTATTTCCATGCACGTTTATTTCATCTTAAACGTATACCAAATTCCTACAAACATAAAATTCACAAAATAACTATCATTTAATTATAATATCACTAAACCATGTACACGCCGACTTATTTTTACTTAAAAAAACATCCCAGAATTGCACAAAAATGGCATTACGCACACTCTTCACTATATCCATGTACACTGCTTTTTTCTCATAAATTAGAAAAATTTCACGAAAATACATGACAATTTTCTCAATCTTTAAACCCGGTAAAAAGAACATATATGAAATTACCTGATCGTGAAAAAGTATTTACCCTTTCCAAATATGAACATTTCCACATATAAAATAAATAAAATATCCAAAAACTTTTACCTCTAAATCATCTATTACATTATACACGTCACCAACGAATTCATACTGCAAGTATTACAAATACTTAGTATCAAATATTTAAATTATTTCCATGCACGTTTATTTCAACTTAAACGTATACCAAATTCCTACAAACATAAAATTCACAAAATAACTATCATTTCATAAAAATATAATTAAATTCAAAAACACTACTTAAAATATAAATGAGCACATACATTAAATTAATAAAAATTACCTTACAATCCTAATTACTTTAAACTAAATCATTGCTAATAACAATTTTCCCAATAATACCGAATTCCTTTCCACCTTACATTTAGAACAATGCAAAAAAATAATATCCTCAAATAATTAAAAATACTAACTTACCTAATCTTCTTCAGAATCTTGATTACGTGGCGGATACACTTTTCTAATTCATTCAATAAAATTATTGAAAGATTTTTTCTGCGAATTTTTCCTCCATACTTCCTCCGCTAAATAAAAAGCAAACTTCTCTTTATCACAATGCCTAAATACCCATTTCGAATTCACTTTAATTAGGGCCATGGGATCCAAAAATTACACAACACTGTTTCACACAACACAGAATAAAGCTAAATACAAAATTTCCACATTTTTTCCCGATTTCCCCCCTTTTCCGATTAAAGAACCGTAATTCGTCCATTAATATCACATGACATATCCCATGATCTCTCATTTCCCTCACGCAAAATAATGCGTAATGGGAACTGAGTACTGCTCACATTATTACCAAAGTCCCAGGTAGTAACCTTTATCGCCTCCAAAATGTCACCAAACTACCAGTTACCATATTGTAAAGATCAACCCCCCTTTCAATCCCACTAAATACCCATTTCGAATTCACTTTAGTTAGGGCCATGGGATCCAAAAATTAACGAACACTGTTTCACACAACACAGAATAAAGGCAGATACAAAATTTCCAGATTTTTTTCCGATTTCCCCCCTTTTCCGATTAAAGAACCGTAATTCGTCCATTAATATCACATGACATATCCCATGACCTCTCATTTCCCTCACACAAAATAATGCATAATCGGAACTGAGTACTGCTCACATTATTACCAAAGTCCCAGGTAGTAACCTTTATCGTCTCCAAAATGTCGCCAAACTACCAGTTACCATATTCTAAAGATCAGTCTTTTATTTTTAAACAAATTAATACATGAATTATGAGATCAACCATATGAATGAGACTCTTTCTTCTTATGTACCTTTCGTTTTTTCCTTTGTACATGTGCAGAGTGCTGTTTACTCTGTTGTCAGTCATATTAAGAACTTGGAAGGTGACCTATCTTACATTTAAAAACAGCAGCAACAAAAAAGAAAATTGTTATATATCTATGACGTTAAGAAACATTACAATTTAAACAGAGCAATGTATAATAGAAAAACAAATATGTTAACTAAAACTAACAAAATAAAGAGAGAAAAAAGAAGATATACATAGGATTTTGAATTTTAATGCATATATACCAATTATACATATAATTTTTTTTTACATACAGATAAACTTAAAAAGCACAAAACGTTTATCTCGATTATTTATGCCTTTATTGTACTTTTAATATTATATATAACTGAGGTGCTTTATAATGCCTATAATTTTTAATATGTGAAACAAATCTTTTTTTGAGCATTTGCAACATTGCAACTAGGAAAATTATTCCCAGAAAAGATTTTTGTGCCTTATATATTTCCTATTTTTTTAGAGAAACATTTAGATCTTTACTTGACATGAACAAAGGATTTGGATCAAAAAGTATTCTTGTACCCTCATGCAACTGTTCACAGCAGTGAAAAACTTTTTTAATTAATTACAGCAAACTGTTATTTATTTTCTAATAATTGTTGTTTTCATATTAAATTAGTAAAACAAGTTTGCAAGATCATACACACTTCTACAAAACATTTTCCAGTTTCGTACATTGTGGTCATTCATATGCAATTCCTCCATGATGAACCTATTCATGCATTTTCGACACCACAAATAAGGATCAGACTTACAAATCAACCTTTTGTTCATACATTATTCTATCACAAACCTTTCATCCTTATCTTGCGATCTAATCAGATATATAAAATCCACACATTCAGCACCAGCCATATTATACTCACAATCATCAATGAGAAATAAGGTAAAATGACGATTTTTAAAAGGCCCAGTTACACAGAGTAAATGCCTTAAATCTTGACGAACACATGGCTGATCTTTAGAACATGGCAACAGGTAATTTGGCAAGTTTCCATAAGTTGGCAACACTGACATATAATCTGCAATCTAGCCTTATTAGTATCGACAATGGAGAGACAGCTTAGTTTAACACATTTTTATTATTAATAGACTACATGACTTTGCTTAAGAATTCTTTGTTTAAACACAGTTTCACAAGTATTCTCATCAAATTTTACATCATACTTGGAAATCAGGATAACAACTAAAAGCATGAAATAAGTAAATGATAATCGGTGCTTAATACCAATACTTTAAGACAGTCAAAGATGGTCAAAAATCAACCAATGATGAATCAAGGTAGATCTCAGCATCAAATGATGATACTCACACAATACAAGCTTTTAAAGTTTTACATTTAAATCGACTCCTAAAAAATTTCTCATGATTGCAACATTCTTATAGCATTGTGCCATCACATTTTGACCCTAAAAATTATAATTGTATGAATCAAATAAGCTGTCTTAGTATTCTATTCATTCATTCTTTTTAGTTTACTATCTAAACTTAATTTCAAACATTTTATATTCTAATTTATCATCATATAACAAAGAAGTTTCAAATTCCACAAATAGATAATAACTTACATGGTTCATAACCATATTCCTTTAAATAATTCTCCTGGTCTGTAACACCATGTTCTGCCTCAAGGATAAGTTCTTCAAAGTCAAGAAAGAATGACTTTGAAACAGAATTCTTTTGCTTAATATCTTTTTTCAGTTTATCTGCTTCTCCCTAGAGTAAATAAAAGATACCCAAAATGTAGATTCATACCAAAAATTAGAAAAATTATTAGTATTTCACATATTGATAATTTTTCTTTAATTACATGAAAATAACAAAACTTTTAATACTAAATGTTTATTTATTTTTAAAAAATCATCAATATTCTCAGCAATGACACCATATATTAAATAATCTGCTAAGTAAATCACTGCTGTCTATCAGTTCGTAATCTTCCGCTCAAGAAAAATGTTAATATTAATATAAAACAAAAAAAATATATTTCTCTTATTAAATTTCTACTACTTTTTCATTTCCTTTAAGTTTAGAACTCCTCATTAACAAATAGTGGTGGCGCATACAGCTCTAAACTTTTAAATATTTCCCAGCTGCAAAAATTGGGAACATTTAAAATTATGAAGTTATTATCATTCTTGAATTTCCAGGTTAAAAATTATGTTTTAAATTAAATACGTTAAGGACTAAGAAACATGATATATGACCTTTAATTGATGTATTTTATCTCTCATGTCAGCAATTTTAGCAGCAGCAACATTCTCATCCGGAACTTCAAGCAAAGTCTTGTTAGCCTCCTCAACACCCTTGTTTATTTCTTTAACACATTCCTTGAGGTTTTTAAAAAAACTTTTAGATTCCTTTAGATCCATTACGTCTGCTGATACAATTCGGCATTTAATCACCCTTTTAAAAAGGGAGCGCTCAAAAGAAAAGTTCTTGCGTTGCCAAATCTGGAAAAAACAAATGTAACCTACAGTTTTGCACCAAAATTAAACATAATTTTCCTTGTCGCAGTGTTTAATCTAGATTTTCCTTTTGGTTACATATTCTTCGTAGCAGAAAAATAGCTTTTAACTGGTTGGATTTCTGCAAAAAAAAAAATTATAATATTGTAACAAAAATTATTTAAAAAAAAACATAGTAACTTTCGCTCATTTCATAGAAAAATCCTGTACCTATCTGACAAAACAAGGCAGTGTAAACAGGCGTCTCTCTATTAAACGGCAAAATTGAGCAAAAATTTCCCAGCGTGGTATATGAACTCAGAATTTGCAAAAATCTGAATGGCTTTATATGCTTCATGGCAAAAAATAAAGTATCAGTGTTATCCTGAACAGAAAATGTTTTTCAAGTTTTTAAATCGAAATTTGGCATCATTTGTTAGCAGTTAAACGCGGAGTGAAACAATTTCTTGTTACGTGATTAATCTTGGGGTAATTTTTTCCTCGTGTTAAATGCTATTAAATTTATTTGGGACCTTTATTCGCTCTTAATATGATTATAATTTGAGGTACAGTATATAATGTAATTTGCATAATTTTGCTTTCTAAACAATAGAAAGTTACTGATATACGATATACTAATTCAACATATTGGGTTACTTTGCCCAGGCCATTTAATTTTCAGTTATGAAGTCATTAAATGGAAGAAAATACTTTAAAGTTTTATACAGTCGAAATATAGATCATTTAATGAGTAGTTAATGTGTAATAAATTGGGATGTTTCCAATCTTTATGTAATTTAAACATTGACGAATTTAGTTAAGACCTGTATTTGTCAAAATATAATTATTATGTATTTTAAGGTACAGTTTGTCGCTCTTAATATAATATAATTTGAGGTACAGTATATAATGTAATTTTGCTTTCTAAAAAATAGAAAGTTACCGATATACTAATTCAAAATATTGGGTTACTTTGCCAAGGCCATTTAATTTTCAGTCATTAAATGAAAGAAAATATTTTAAAGTTTTATACAGTTGAAATATAGATCATTTAATGAGTAGTTAATGTGTAATGAATTGGGATGTTTCCAATCTTTATGTAATTTAAACATTGACGAATTTAGTTAAGACTTGAATTTTGTCAAAATATAATTATTATGTATTTTAAGGTACAGTTTGTAATTTATTATGTTTAATTTAGCTATCTATAAAATAAAAAGTACCTAATATGCCAGTTGAACATATTGGATTTCTTCGTGAAGGCTATTGTAGGCGTGTTTTATTTGATAATAATTTTCATTTATAAAATCATTAAATGAGAGCTTAATTTATTTCTGTTAATCAGAATTTTATTTCATGTCTCATAATTTATGATGCGAAATATTCTTTAAAAATAATATTGAAAACTGAAATTTTTTTCTGTTAAAAAAAAATGGATGAGTTACAGATTCTAGGAAAACTCTTTTAGTATTGTCCATTGTGTGTTTCAATACAAAATTTAATTTCAGGTGTCTTTTTAATTAATGCTGTTTCAAAGATTACTAAGTTGGACCTATGAAATTCTTTGATTTCATAATTTGAAGTTATATAAAGTAAATGTAACAACATAAATATTCTTCAAAAATCTGGTTAAATTAAAAAGGAATATTCCTTGAGAGTTTGAATATTGTGTGTAATCTGAGAAAACAGTGAGACTTAACAGTATTAGTAGTTTCGGCTAAAGTGCTGAATCACCCACTTGTTTGTTTGGTGCTTTTTACAAGAGTAAGAAGAATTGGATTTTTGTCAATTTTCTTTGACTTTTTAAGTGAAAATAGGTCGATGTGTACATGGATAAAGTCAAGGGAGTGCAGTGCCATTTTTGTGCAATTATGGGATATTTTTTTAAGTGAAGATAGGTCGATGTGTACAAGGATACCTAGTATGTGCAATTCTTAAAGATAGGTCGATGTGTACAAGGATACCTAGTATGTGCAATTCTTAAAAACGCGCCAAGCAGTGGGCACGTAGTTTTACATAAGAAAAGTATTTGTCTGTCTTGCATTATATGTAAAGTGGGGGGAAATACATTTTTTATCTGATGTCCATCAATTTTTTTTAACCTTTTATGTGTGCGAGATAATGTATACAAGGGTTGGGCAAAAATGTTCGAGGATCTGTTGAAGAGACTGCATGAAATAACAAAAATGTTCTATTTAAAATCTAAAATTGAGCTATACTTGTTTGTGTTTGCTGCAAACCATTTGGATATTGCAGTTTCTTTCTAGTTGCAGTTTAAGTGAGTTATATACCAGTTTGCCGAGTTTCAAAGAGGGAAAATTTTTGAACCTATGTAATAGATAATTCTTCCACAGAGTAGTAAATTTATTTGGTACGGTCAAAAGTCGTTAATCTGGACTCGTCAGGATTTCGGTGATTCCAGATTATTGATTTTTCCGGATTATAGATCATCAGTTTAAATCTGGTAAGATGGCGTGCAGAAATTATAAAATTAAAAATATGGAACAGTAATTTATGAAATAGAGAACAATTATGATCGAAAGGGTATCAAAATTTACAAAAAGTAAAAGCTTAATATTTATTTGTTTACTTTATTAAACATTTCTTTCAATGTAAGTTGTTTAAGTTGCTTCGTTTCATGTGATAATACTTTCTCTTTAATTCTATTAAACAGACATAATTTCTTGTTTAGTTACAAAGTTCCGCTGTTCAAGTAATATAATTGCTGTGTCGAGAATACCGACTATTTTGTCAATCAAAATTTTTTTTCGTTTTCAATAATCTTTGTGTCGCTTTCTTCACTATCGGAAGCGAATTATAATGACGAGGAACTTGATTTAAATCATATCAAAGACGGAGTACATCGAGATGAAATACTACATTTAATAAGGAATTATAAGCCAAATAAAATAAAAACATCTGCCCTGAAGATAAGGATAATGCTGACAGATCAACTTCCAATTCATTGCGCGCCGCATCGTCTCCCTCCCCCGCAGAGCAGCGTGAAATTGATAAACATATTTCGGAATGATTAGATAATCAAAGGATATGCTTTTATCCATTTTTTGCAGCAATTCCACTTTCTGTTTAATGGACTTCGAAATATACTTTCGCTTTGTAGATCCTTTACATATTAGTAAATATATATCGGAAATTCTATTTGACATAATCGAAAGTTCAAGCTTACTTTTATAAAATTGCTGTAACAGTCTGCAAAAAATAATAAGCCGGATCCAATTCGAAGATTAAGGAACAACGCAATCTGCAACAGTAGCTGAATTACATAATTTTAGCTTAGCTTATACCGTCCGTTATACATTAAACGCGCATGCGTAAATGTATTATGCACATGCACACACGCATATTCGCAGCCGTAAAGGTCTTACGCGAGGCATGCGCAGAAAGTTTGTAGCTTTGAGGTCCAGATTATTTGTGTCTGAATTAACGACTTTTGACTGTATTAGGTATTCAGCTTAGAGTCATCATCCTGATAAAGCCAGCATTTGTAAAACTATTCATTGTATGTCAGAAAAATTGTTGCGTTGAAGGTTTTGGTCAAAGATAAGAAAAGAATTACAAATGTAACTATTGAGCACATAATGTGCTTTATTCATGTTATTCAGGTGATAACATTGGAGCAGTAATTTTGCATTTTATACAAGTACATAAAGCTTTTTTCTAGTTGCAGTGTAAGTGAATTATGTAACAATATTCAGGGTTTCTGAGAGGAATTAAAAAAGTAGTAAGTTAAGCATTATACTAATGAGTCGTCATCTGGTATTATACATATGCAAAAGCATCATTAAAGAAAAAGATTTGGGCCTTTATTTCATATTTTGACTTTCATACAGCATGCAGTTTCTTTAACCACTCTTAGTGGCACGGGTTTTTTGATCTGTCATGAAGATCTGTATTCAGACACTTTATTAGCTAAATTTGTATACTTAATTACTTTAGCCTCTATTTTCATAAACTTACATTTATTAAGATGATATTTATATTATTAAAGTAAGAAAGCAAAATATTGTAAATTATAAGCTAATATATAACAAATGACAAAAAAACTTATGATCATATAAAGCCGGCCGTAATGCTCAGAGGGTTAAATTCAAATTTTTATTTATTTACTTATTTATTATTATTTTTTTTTTTTTTTTAAGTTTTTCACTTTGAGCATTTGCATTTGGTATTTTGATCCTTGGCAAAAAATTGTTGCTAAGATAACCGATATACACCTTATTTAGACATAACATAAGGAAATAACAATCTGAACTCGGAGCTTATGAATACAGTATATTATAGTATTCATAATCTGGAGAGAGTATTTGAACTAATAAATATGTACTTCGTTTCAGATTCTTTCCTTTGAAATGATTCATACAGGAAATGTTGCATTGGGAAAACATGATTACATTCAAACAACATGATTACATTCAGTGAACAAACATGATTACATTCAGTGAATTCAGTCTGTTTCAGTGAATGACGAATGTAGGAATAAGTAATGTTCTTTTACATAAAACTGTAAGAGCCAAAAATGGCAAACAGTACATGTAGTAAGATGATTGTTGAGGTATTGATAGAGAATTTTCTATTGTATATCATTTACAAATTTGATTTTTTGCATACTTTTAAATCCTGACAGTAAGTAGGCGTCTCCAGGATGTTCAGTTTTTGGAATTCTGAAGTTAGTATTTTTCATCCGTATTGGATGACATTTCATTTACTGTAACTATAAGAATATTATCCTTGGTTCTTTGTTTGGGATAAATACTGAAATGTAATAGTCACAATGTAAAAATAGTAAATAATTAAAATGATTTAGTTGTTCAAAGGTTTCGATTAAAAATTTTGGAATTGTCATCCTTTAAAGAGCAGCAGTTCTCAATTTTTTTGTATTGCACAACTTTTAATAAAGATTTGTCATATAGATGTTATATCTTCCTCTTTCAGAATAATGACTGCCTTCCTGAGTTCCTTGTTACAGTATTCTCCCAATATAACTTATATGTTGTATTGTTTTAATATCATAAAATTAGTAAATTGTAATGAATAAATCGGAAAAATATGAAAGACTGATTATTACATTCTTTCAAATACATTGATAGCACATGTTTTAAACCAAAATATAAAATTATTAATGTACCATATAATTGTTTTGAATGTTGGTTTTTGAAATTGAATAAAAAATGATTGAATTGATTCATTTATTGACTTGATGAGATCTGTAAAGCCCTAAGCATTCTTGAAAAGTGGTTTTGTACCAACCACAGTAAAATGATAAACCTCTAATTATTTTAAACTAGATTAATATGTAACTGTTTGCACTAAAACAAACATTTTAATTCATTTGATTGTGTAAGAAGTATATTATTTGAGAAGTGAATGAATGATAATTAATCAGATATGTTTTTCTCCAAACATACACTCTTAGACAAAAAAAAACAAGTACCAAGAGGATATAAAGCAAATTGGACACAAATTGATATGCGTACAAGTTTCGATGGAAAATGCAAAATTTTACATTTTGGCTGCCAATGAATGAACGTTTGTGACTACAGCGCAA